CATCTTCTCTAAGTACAGTCTTTTCCCATACAACACAGTCACTAACAACAATGCCTTTGCCAACTTTACCTCCAATCACCACTACTGTTCTTATGACAACTGAGGAAACAGGTATATGTATATATGTATTTTTGCTTCATTTGATAGCAAATAATAAATTATTTTCAAATCAGCCGTGACTATATATATCCGATAGTGCACATATATCATGCGGAAGACAAGAGTTGATAGTTTTTCTATTAATTACAACAATAAATTACATTCAGCAGAATCGTGAAATCAAATTTAGAAACCTTCAACATTAGAGTGATACACCACGGCAGGGCATACTGGCTTTAGTATTTATTTAAGGATTTGTTACCAAACGAACATGGTGCTCGTAATGGAACTAATGTGAGAAGTTCTGCATATAATGAAATGATGCAATGTAAATGTACGTGTTAGCCACCAGTAGATACACTGTAGACAAGCCTCATTTACGTAAAGTATGAAAAACAAATAGTGAATTGACAGATATTTTTTACTGGCATATTTGAATTTCAAACTAAAATTTGGCATTCATATAGAATATTACACGGCTTACATTTGGTATCAAACACGAACTTTATGTTAAATTGAGTTTTTCAAAATCTAATGAAAAATTTCTGCATATGTATGTTACAGAGAGAGTTTGTTTTTCTAATAAAAAACTCGACAATTTACCGATGTCCGTTATACAAATAATTTTAATTGAACACTTTTAACTCAATGAATATTTGTATTATGTCGATTTAGTTTACACCTACAGTGTCCGGTAAAACATTACTATATTCTTTTTTTTTCAATAATTTTCAACATTCGTTACATTATCATTATCTATTTCTTTAATTGTTTTCTTCATATTTCACGGTATATTATGTTAACATGTGTGCGACGATATTTCATAGTACACATAAGTGCATTGACAGATATAATTTTATAAATTGTAATTATTCAAAATTCAGTGAGCCTACCAAATTTAATGACACTCTCCACGTGAGTTATCTACTCGCTTATATTAAAATTAAATATAACAGAACACATTTCGAATTTACTTTAAATATTTCTTCTAATAATCAGTTGCTTACATTATATAAAAGTTATTTTATCATCATTAACTATTTCTTTAATTGTTTTCTTCATATTTCACGATATCTAATTTTCATAGTACACATTAGTGTCCTGACAGTTATATATTCATATAAATTGTAATTATTCAAAATTCAGTGAGCTTACCCAATGTAATGACACTCTCCACGTAATACGACAATATCGATCAAAACTTTTGAATGTATACATTTTGAATGTACATAATATGTATTAAACATGATTATTGCAGTTTTATTGTTTGCTTCGACGTCTGTTTGCATTTGATTCCAGTTACGCAGTCTCCATGCAATGTGCTAACTGTTGATGAAAATT